AAAAAAAAAAAAAAAAAAAACCTCCCTCCCTCATCAGTTTTTTGGTCTTGATAGGATGATAAACTAATAATTTTTTTTATGGGGCCTAATGGTTAGGCTAGAAACATTTGTATGACATTTTGTTTTTCTTCATTGAAGTCCACTTTTTACCTTTTTTTTAAATGTTTGTGACGTTCGTTTCTTTTGTTGTTTGATGATCTGCACACACACTCTTTTAATAATAAGACCTCTGTGGAACATCCAAACCTTTTGACTATCTATGCACAGTATCTTCGTAGAAGTACAAATTTGACTGTAATTTCTTTTGATTGCGCTAAATGTGTTTTCTTTTTCCAAATACAGAATAAACATAAAAGAGAAAAGCCGTGAAGAATTTATGTATGAAATAAAGGGATTAGAGGAACAAAATTCACGTCATAAGATGAGGGTCAGTAGATACTGAATATTTTTGATTTTTTTTCAAGGATTGCAACTAGCAAACTTAATCACTTTCAAATTAGGCGAAACTTTTTTTATACCTTGTTTGGCGAAACCTTCCCCCCCCCCCCAATAATGATGATTCTGAATAAATATAAAATTTTATTTTTGGCCAATTAGCACATTGTCGTCACGAAAAAATGGAAATTTCAGTTAAAAAATTATAATTTTTTATTTATTTTTATTGAACCCATCCCTGCCTTGAAATCTTCGTAAATAAAATATGTATTTCTTCCTAATTATATAAATTTAAAGCATTTAACCATGGTCCCATTACTTCACTGTTTGCATTCAACAAGAACAATGACATTTTTTAAAAATTTTCTCCTCCTTCTGTATTTTTTTTGGCAAAGCCATTTGCTAAATAAGAAAACAAAATAACATTTTTATTTTTTTTCGCCCTCCTCTGACGATCTTTAAAAAAATAAGTTTGTGAAACAACGTATAAAAAAAGTTGGTTTTCCTTTGTGTATTTTACACTGAAAAAATCAAATCTAATCCAATCCAGTGGCAAAATATCACTGTTGATTTAATGATAACAATTCTCATGATTTTTATTTTCCCTTGCATACAAATACATGGAAGGCATCAATGGAACAAATCCCAGCACAAAACACCTACCAGAGCATGCAATACACAACATTTTTTTTTTTTTATATAATTAAATACAAAAATATAAAATATTAGACCAAACTTTCTGTATCGGAAGAATCACCATTGAATCTATTTTTTTGTTTAATTTATCAGAATGAACGTCTTAAAGAAGAACAGATTTACCACATCAAAACTTTATTGAAACAAGCTAAAGAAGATGACAAAGACCTGGAACATAAATCAGTAACCAGCAAAGTGGAAGTAGAGACCACAATGAAAGAAAAGTGGGCAGCAGAAAAAGAAGAACATAAAGAAATTGAAGGCATTGACAATTTTTTTTTTCTTTTCAGTAGTGTAGATCCTATTGTGGTAGTTTCTTAGCCAGTGAGACACCAGAACAACTTCTTATCTCTTATCGTTCTTTTATTCATCAACAGATTTATCATTAGTCACAGTTACTGTTGTTAGATGTCTTTAAAAAGCTCCCTGTAACATAGTAAATATACATAAATTGTATATTTATGCTATGAATCTTATAATAAATAAATATTATTACGATTATTATTATTATGATAATATTATTATTATTATTATTATTGTTATTTATTGTTGTCGATGTTGTTGTCTTTATTGTTATTTTTGTTTATTATTATTATTATCAAATCATTGGATATTAACTTTGGTATGCAGATACACCTCCACTGGTGATAATTTAAGATGATAATAAATATTTGAGAAAAATGTACGGGTGTGTCCCTATTGGAATTCAAACCCAAGACCTTCTGATACAGGGATGCAGTTGTGGTGGGCAGAAGTGGGCGGAGTCACCCAGCCTTGAAGTTTTCCACCCAGTCTAAAGCTAATTTCATGGCCCTCCACCCAATTTTTAATTCTTAAAATCCACTCTTATTTACAGTTTACCAATGTTATCACCCACCCTTAGTTTTCTACAACTACAACCCTGTGATATATCTATTATTATCAAGTGATTATGATTTAGAAATTATTTGATACTTTTTTTGATTATTAGAAATTAAGCTCAAAATTGAACAGAGAAAGCAGGATGTTGAGGAAGCTAAGAGTCATGTGGCCAAATGGCAAACGTATAAAGAGAAAGGCAGCCATGTTCATGGCAAGCAAATCAAAGTGTTGCAAGAAGAGCTTGTTGACATGCAGAACAGCTTTCTTGAGATGCAAGGTATGATCACAGGCTGTTAAATAATCTATCATCAATATTATCGATACCACCATAACCGTCATCATGGTCAACATCACAGTGGTCTCAAGTCTCCCGAAACTCACAGAAGTCTCACAGAAATTGGGACGGCCTCCCGCACTCCCGCATGCAAGCAATAATCTCCCGGAAAATAATCCATCTCCCGCAAATTCATAATATTTTCATGTTTAAATTACTTTATTATCAGTTGTCTCGTAGAAGTTAATGCCAATGGGTATTAAAATGAAATTAAATGTGTTAAGAAAGCTCATTTTAACCAGATCTCCCAGAAGTGACTTTTTCCAATCTGGGACCCTGACATCCTCATTATTGTCATCATCATCATCATCCCACCATAATAATCATCATCACTGCCATTATCATCATCATCCTCATCATTGTGATCATCATCATCATCACTATAATCATCGTCAACATCTTAATTTTAATCATAGTTTCTCCATTATCATCACCACCATAATCATCATCAGCAGCAGGGGCATCTCCACCACCATTACAGGCACAGATCCAGTCGGGGGACGGGAGCATGTGCCCCTGTTTTGCTACTAAATTTTAAAATTTCAGTGCATATCAATGTTATGTATTGAAATATGCGCAACTCACTTTATTCTGAAAATATTGTATCCCACTCCCTCACGTTTTAAAAATTCTGGATTCGCCCCTGCCACCTTCCTCGTCATAAAATTGAGTGTTGCAATACATCACCATTATCATCATCAGCAGCAGCAGCATCCTCAACATCATCATGAACATTATCATCATCATCAACATTATCATCATCATCGGTATCATCATCATCATTGTTCCACCACCACCATGATCATTGCTGTCATCATCACCACGACCATCATCGGCACATCATCAATCATCCTTGTTGTAGCCTCCAGTTTCCCTTACTGTACAATAATTGATTTCTAGATTTTTTTCTGAGACAACTATACTGTAGTTGTCTCATTTATATTGAGTGCATTTTAAAGTTCTTTCTACTACAGCTGGTTATTACATTATTTCATTAATAGGGCATTTAGAGAAAACCTTAGGAGTTGCCAAAGAAGAAATCCGCAAATCAACAGAGGAACGATTAGATGAGCAGAAATACATAGCGTCAGAGGTGAGCATTGGCCATTGACCCAACTATAATAGCTGGATTGCTCATTGGCCAATCATTGTACAGAAAAAAGTGACGCCATGTTGAGGCCTATATGACGTACCAGTTTAGAGAAGTTTCCTTTGGCATTTAAATTATTGTTAAAAATAACGATTCTTACAATACTTTTTAATAATTAATTTGAAATTTAACGTAAGGATCATGTGCCTTGAGCCCCTTTGGTGGAGATGTGTGCTTTATAAATCTTTGTTATTATTATTATTACAAATCATCAACCACTCGATGCGACTGTTCATGCAGTTTACAAAAGTGTGTGTGAAGTCACGTTGTTATAGTGATCACTAACAACGCAGTTAACCTCGCTTGCGCTTTTTAATCTGCGTAAACAGTCACGTTGAGTGGTTAGATGATTTGAAAAATAATCATTACATTCAATTTAAATTTATTATTAAAAAGTATTGCAAGAACTGTTATTTTTAACAATAATTTAAACAAATGCCAAAGGAAACTTGTCTAAACTGTTAGGTCACTTGGCCTCAAACACGGCATCGGTGACCTCACTGAAACCAGCTAATGAGCAATCCAGTTGTTATAGTAGAGTTTAGCTGTATTGTCATACAGTAATATCACAATAGGGCAAGGCAAGAAAAATTGTTGGTCATCTTTTTATAAGGTGAACAAAGACAAAAAGAAAGATGATGTTGGCAGCAGTGATGACAGTGACAAAATGATGATATAATAATAATCATAAAATAATAATCATAAAAATAATAACAAATTTAGTAATGAGGATGAAGTAATACTGTCGTAATAATTAACAACAATGAATATTATAATAATGAAATTGGTAATAAAATAATACTGTAATATTAATTATTAATGATGATGAAATAATATTAGTGTAGTAAGGAAAATAATAAAATTAATAATATTAATGATGAAGATGGTAAAATTGTAATAATAAGAATGAAATTAATAATAATAATATAATAATAATAATAATATTATTTGTTATTGTGTTATAATAAACACATAAGTCAATAACATCAATAATGAAGAATCATCTAATTGTTATTTTTTTCAAATTTCAGAAAGCGATGACAACTTTGGATAAGTTCAGTACACAGGAAGTTAAAGACAATGAATGGCTGAGGAGGGAGGTATGGTAATTATGTCAATAGCTTTCATTTTTTTTCACAATTTTAATGACATTTTGAACATTATTCAAATTATTTCTTGAAGATTATAACTTTTATTATTGTTATTGTTGTGGTAGTTTTTGGTTACGCTTTATTAAGCAGTTCTTACCCGCCTTGGAAAAAGAGTAGTATACTTTAAAAGTGCTTTGGGGACCCAATAATGATAGGAATAGAAAGTTCATACCAGATACAAAATTGTTTCTTGGTAATTTATTTTAACAGTCAGACCACATTATCTTAGGCCTACCTTTAGATGTCTGGTTTATAGGCACCAAAAAGGCCTATGAATGTTTTGTTTTCTGTGCGAAATTTGTTTATATCACAGATAAGATAAGATAAGATTTATTGGTTCTCTCTTTTATAACAGAGGAACACTCTCGCGCAGGAGAGATTCGACCCGTACAAAAGTTACAAAACAACAACTGACAACATATAAAAATGAATTATTGAAAAGATAAATGAGTAAAGAAAAAATTACTGGACAAACAAAACAAATACTCTCATTATTCTGTAGTAATTAAGGAATAACTTAATGTACAAAAACTTAATGTAAAAAAAAAAAAAAATAAATAAATAAATTTAAAAAAAAAAATTTAAAAAAAAGAGAATTCAATTACAGAATGTAAATAAATAAATACAAATGACAAAAAATATAAGTTTATAAATACAGTAAATAACGTAAAAATTAAATATTGGTGGTAATGTTTATCATTAGTTCAGTTCTTTCAGTCATTGCTTTTATTAAATATGTTTTACAATGGTTATCAAATATGTTACAAATTTCAATATTCTGATACCATGCTTATTTAGGCCTACTACAGGCATTGTGTAATGGACCCTAACACTAAGCCCCGCCCCTGGATATTGTTGCTAAGCTCCCACAAAATTAGCTTTTTTTATGTTTTGTTTTGTCAGTTGTTAAGTTTGATTGGCACCCTGGAAAAGTTCATTCGGTGTCAGGATGTGGTTTGAAAAAAATACCAAAGTTAAAACTGAAAGTAAGAAGTAACATTAATAAGCCTGTCACAGAACACATGCAATATTATTTGCAGGAATTGTTATGACTAACAAAAACAATGTTCTGCTGTTAAGCAAAGATGCTAATAAATCATCCATATGATGCTGCATAGGCCTAAATAAGGCATACCGCTCAAGCGCCATGGGCGTTGTGCCATCATAATCCTGCCAGAAATAAAATTGTGTTTGATTAAAAAATGTAACAGAAATAATAATAATAATAATGATAATAATAATAATAATGATAATAATAATAATAATAATAATAATAATAATAATAATAATAATAATAATAACTAGCACTAACTCATACTTAAGTCGAATATCTCTTGTGTTATTTTCCCCTTAATGTCATGTTTCCCCTTCATGTCGTTTTTTTAATTGTTCTCTAATTTCTCCATTCTCTAGTTCCCCTTAAGGTAGGTTTTAATAACAATTATAGTTAGTAATAATAATTATAATAATAATAATAATTTTATAATAATAATATAATAATAAATTTTATATGTGTCCCCATTCTAATTTGGGCTGGGAATTTGCGTCAGCCGCAGTGCAGTGCCACCCAACTTAACTACAACATGTAACGGACTCATGTGGATACAAACATTGTCCTTAACCCACCTTATTCTCAATGTGAGGGTTATCTGAGGAGCCCAACAATCAGACTTCATCCCAATACCAGCCAGGTTTGAACAGAGGTCATCAGCACAAGATGCAAGCTCTCAGCCAACCGCTCAGCTCAGAAATTGCATTTCTAGGAATCTAGGAGACCATTTTATCAGTCTTGCATCTGTCAATAGCTCAAAGTTGGCAAGGTTGGTTAAGTATATCCTGTGTGTGATAGGATAATGTGGTTTTTTAAGTTCCTTGATTTGCTTGCATTTTTTGGGGATTTCCCCTTTTTTCCCCATGATAACGAAATGATGTTTCATTCTGTGAATGTTGGTAATGGTAATGGTGGGATATTTGTAGTGCGCCTTCCACAATAAGATCGTCTCAAGGAAATGTTAAATGTATACTTCAGTCGTGAGATGTGAAAAATTCCCCAACCCCCTTCCCCCCTAAAAAAAATTCATATGTTGATTAAATAAGCGATGGCTTTTTTTTTATGGCAATTGTGAAGATAAGTTTCAGCTTCTAATAATTCCAAAAAAAAAACAAAACATTAAATTGATTCCTGGTCTATGTTAATTACAAAAATTGTTGTTCAATTTTCAATATCTGCTATAAGTGAATTGTGTTTTTAAACTTATCATATTTTTTTTTTAACAAAACAAAAAATTAATTGCTCAGAACAACATTGTGAATTTTAATTAGGCTCCTGATGCACTTACTCTTATCTTTGGGAGAGTTACTAATAATTGTTTATGATTAATTATCAAATAATGATTATGTAAATTTCATCAACCTTATCAAGTCTACTGACTATGATGTTTTACTGGCCATAATGACCTTTACAGTGGCGGATTCAGAAATTTGAAGTAGAGGGTCTATACTACGTCAGCCCCACCATGTTTGAAAATTTATGATTATGGCACCTCTAGATGGCACTATCAGACTTCATAAAACAAGCATTTAAATTGCAAAAAGAAATAGGATTGTAGATAATTATTTTGCTGGTTCCTTTTTTGTTGTCTCTAATTTGTTTGTCTTTAATTGTATGTTGACTGCAAAATATTTTGTTTACTGATGTCAAATAAGAATCTATAATAGTTTTATAATTTTACTATTTTGTTTACAGACACAAATCCATCGTGATGAGAAGCATGCTTTACAAGCTGAAGTTGAACAGTTAGAAAAAGACAACCTTAGTATCATGAGCGAGCTGTTTGATTGCAAAGTCTCAGATCTCAAAATTTCTAGGTATAAACTTTAAAATTCTACTGTAAATTTATATCTTCATTCAACTACAGTGACATTCCTTATATTCTTGCATATAGATGAGGCTTAAAATAGCAAATCACACTAAAAAAACAGAGGTCATCTATGCACAACACATAGAGACTTTTGATTTTTAAATCGTGTCTTGTGTGCGGATCGTCCGTAACGTGCAAATTTAATACTGAAATGAAGCTACTGACTGTTAGTATGAATGAACGTGTGGAAATAAAATTTTTATGAATATTTAGAAGCACATTAAATGGTACTATTTGGAAGATTAGCACTACATTTGGCATTTTTAGCCAGCTAGATGAATTTTAAAACCATAAAAAGCACCAAAAAGTAGGAATTCCGATGGTGAAACAGAGGGTCATCTTATATGCCCGACATACAAAAATCGTCCAAAAATCTTCGCAAACACGATGGTCATCTTATAGACAGATCTAGAGAGGGGGTGTGGGTTGCAGATTTGCAAACAGAGTTTGAGCCCCCACTCCATTAAAAACTTGCTAAGCAAAGTAGTTAGAAATCACCTTGATTAACCAGGTAGCACTCCCTCATTTTCCTGCCTCTCCCCTATTATTCCTCTCCTTTCAAGTCAATATTTCTAGGTATGCCACTATGCAACCAGGAGGCTAGCTTATTGATTGAACATGTCATTGCAGGAAAAACTGGAAAGTGACATTTAAAAAAGAAATTTAAGAGCCATAGAAACAAAAGCCCTGCCCAAACTATGACAATTTTCTTTGATAAAAAAAAAATGCCATATGTAGTCATGGTGTTCCTATAATTGGTCATGATGTGATGTCATGGCCATATCTAGGCATGACACATGTTTTGTCAAATAGAATTTGATAGTTTGGACTAGAATTTTTTAATCTGGATAATCAAATCATTTTTGTAAATAACATTTTGTCATTAATAAAAAAAATAACTAATAATTTTGTTATTGATTCAAGCACCCATTCTATATACGCAATTATCACTATTCTTTTTTACAGGAATTTCTTTCTATCACAATTTGCCGATGATGATACAAAGCATAAATGTGGACTTTTAGAGACTGATTTAGCACACATTGAATCACTAACTCCAAAGATATCAGGTGAATACACAACATTACTCTCATACATGCGATGCACTGAAGGCAAATTGATTGATAGATTTTTTAATAAATCAATCCATCTATCAATCAATTATTAATCATTAGTCAATGCATTCATTTATCATGATCAATAAATCAGGAAAAAAATTGAATAAAAATATTATTTTAAAGGTTTTCAGGGTGAACTAATAATATTTTTTAATGCTTGCGGTACATCACATAGATATCTATGCGGTGTACTGAAAGCATTAAATTAAAAATAATATTTATTGCAAAAATTAGTATTTGCAAACCTTTAAAATTAAGTTTCTGAGTAGAATAAACATGGCCCCAGTTAGGAACAAACCTGCTTTGATCTAGCCCTCTGTAGATGTATCAAGTTGCACATTTTGTCTGACACAGATAGGCTTACTTCAATGTTTGAGGATTTTGCAGAACTTTACATATTCACATTATTTGTTTATATGTACTATAAGCTCATTTTCGGAGTAAAAACATAGACTATGCACAGAGTAAATAAATGACTCTATAATTGTCAGGTGTGCTTAAAATTAAAGGCATATATTGCATATTTACATTTTATGGAGTTATATCAAAAATTTGAACATCAGAGGGGGTGGGGAGGCAATAATCATGGCCACTGATTACCCACTAATTCTGGCTACTTACATTTTTAGCCTTTCTTGTACATTGTGAATATAACATACTTTTCCATTGTAGGTTCGCGCCCTCTTAGTGCGACGCATAGGGCAGTAAAGGCGAAATTAGACAGTCTACAATCAAGTGACATGGAAGATGGAGATTCATCCGAAAGTCAAGATGAAAATGATGAATTCTGCAATGAGGTTGATGAAAGGCTAGACGAAAACCACCAATCAGAAATCTTTCTCAACTACGAGGATGAGAATTTTGATGTAAGCTTGTGCAAATGTCTGGGCCAGTGGTGTATCTAGAAGTCTTGAATTGGGGGTGGGGGCTGATGGGAGGCGCAAAGGTAAAGTGGGGGCTCAATAATGAGTTAAGGGGAACTAATTCGCAAATTATGGTGATTTTAGGTGATTTTTAACTACTTGACCGTGATTTTTGGGGCGACTGGGGAGGGGGTGGTGTGAGTAATTTTTGGGGAGCACCCTCCCCTAGATACGCCACTGGTCTGGGCCTCAGTTATCTTTAAGAATAATTATCAAAGCAAAAATATTATTATAGAGAATTGGAAGGAAGACATTAGGATGAAAAATATTATGAATACTGTAATCACAAAACTTAATTCTGTTTGTTTATGTCAAACATGCCTCATAATAATGTCAATACATAAGGGACAATATTTACAGACTAGACAATAACAAAATTTGCAACACAGGGTGCAATAACATTTAGTGTCTGGCGGTGTGCCACCTTCTGCGTCATTTGTGAACGTGTGATTGAAAATTCTAAAATAAAACAAATATTGTATTAACATAAGAACTTTGAAGGTCAGACATGATTAGGAAATGAGGAGTCTAAAGACCAAAGATATAATAACTTGTGGTAAACCACTAAACAAATATGAAAGTTTTTTATTTTTTTTGTCAGTACAGTATTCTGTACTAGGATTTTGAACTCTGGTTCACAACACATTAGAGTGGTAATCCAAACATTGATCTATAAAATATTTTAAAGCTCCGTGTATTTGTTTATGATTGGAATATTAGTAAAAATTCTACTACTCTTTAAGTAATTATTTTAAGATCAAATAGGTTTTTCGTGTCATCATTGTTGTTATCATCATCATTACCATTTTTTTTTTATAGGAATATTTGAAACTTGGCCCTCTAGAGTTAAAACTGTTGAGTATCAGTGGAGAACAGAAACCAATTCATCCTCCTAAGAAGCTTTCGAATAAAGAAGTGGAAGCAAAACTGTCAGCACCTGATATTTGGCCTGTCACGGACAATATGATAAACAAGCTCACTGTTACATAAATAAAAAGATTATATTCAGTCAATTCAGTTCCTGTCATTGGTCAGATGACGGTGAGCATCTTGGCAGCTGATCAGAAACGATGTGACCCTTCGGGGAGAAGAAAGTTGTAAAATGATTTGGTACATGTCTGAGTGCATTTCAGCCTAGTTAAAGCTGCAAGTCACAGGTTATTTCCTACCTTAACCTCTACCTTTATTTACGCCGTTCGTCTTCCATCATCATGATGCTCATCTTAATTTGTGGTACTTGCTCAATTATTTTATCATCAACTAGGGGAGGCTGGGGTAAAATTGAATGTTCATATTTTAGTTTTGTCAGTCTGCTACCCTAGAAAATGTTAATTCTTGTCCACAGCAACAAATAAAATGGATGGTTTTACCTGAATGTTGTTTGGTAAAATTTTTAGGTAATGTTTAAACTTTTCAACGTCTTTCATTTGTTTTATCTAAGAATAACCTAGATTGGGCCTTTAAACTAAAACGTCTGTGCTGTCTGTAAAAGGCAAAACAATTGAACAACTGTGAAAATATCGAGGGTTGGGGTGTGGGTTCTATCTTAAATTTGGATAAAATAGATGCTGTCATACATCAGTGTATTTTCCTCTATTTTATGTAATATCTTTTTACCAAATGCACACCTAAAGAACATTTCTGGTTGGTATGTTATTTTGGTAAAAATGCTGAACTTCATGTGTGCTAGCAACCATTAATTTAACCTGGTAATCATAATAATAATAATAGTGTAGTTTTATATATTCATCTAATGTAAGATGCTCGGGGCACTTGATATGTGGACTAGGAACTCGATCAATGACTTTCTTTTTTCTTTCTTTGCCCCTAAGGGTCCCTTCATGTCTGTGCTACCCGGTAACCCGGTACCAGCAAGTCTCGTCGTCCACCACAGGGGCTGTCATTTCCAGTACACCGGGGTATCCCCCTACTCGTCTCGAAAGATGTACTGGGTTCTTTATAGTGCAGACGAGCCATTGTATACACTTGGCCTACGGTTTGTAGTCCTTATTCTAGAAGACTTGTTCTACCACCAGAACCATAGGCGAGCGAGTGCCGTTCGAACCAGCGCCGATATTATGGCTATAGCTTGCGGTGCCCATGCTAATCGCTCGGCCACTCGACTCGCCTGGTGCAGTGGGTAGTGCTGGCGCAGCCCCTACTTAGACCACTGCAACTGTGCTAGTATTGTATTGCCTTTAATATGACATGGTCCATATCCCAACAAATTTGTATTTTAAATCATGTAGTGTATTGTGAAAATGTTTGTGTTTCAATGGTTATTGTTTTGTTGTTGATGTCATAACTGAATATATTTGGTGAATATATATAGTACAAGGGTGGAGATAAAAAATTATAGCTCAATGGTACAAAATACATAAACAATACAATGTAGATAATACTTATTACTGTACTTAATATATACAGTATTCAGGTTTTCGGACATTGAAAAAAAAATTGCATACAATGAATTGAATATCTGTTCTGAATACTGTAAACGGAGTACAGTTTTTTCAACATCTTCGCTTAGTTCATGCAATTATATTTACCTAACGAAACATATTTAGAAGGAGCAGGTTGCAAACACAGCATACTGTGCTTTTGAAAACACGATGGATTGGTGAGGGAGGAACCGTATTTATATACTTGTATGTACTTGAGTAAACGCTCCGCTTTCAGGGGTTGCGCCAGGATTTGCCTGACGGAGAGGCCGAGGGTCCCTGGCGGGGGGGTCCGATGCCCCGTCGAGGGGTCAGATTTCCCCGACGAAACCAAAGTGGGTGTGGTCGAGCTTCGATTAAAATGTTTCGAAGGTGGTAAATTTTGACAATTTAGGGGTTTCAAAGGCTTATTTAATCGATTTTTAGAGTAGAAAATACATATAATTTTTTTTTCTCCCCCACCGAATTGTGCTTTTTCTCCCCGACGGGGGGGGGGCAGCTCTCCCCGACGGTGAGGTCCTGGCGCCGGCCCTGGCCCCCGCTGGCGCCACCCCTGCCCGCTTTGAAAAAAATTCTCCTCTAGAATTTGGAATAAACGCAGCTCCCTCGAAAAGCTCTCGAGGGGTTTACTTTTCCTCAAATAATCAAGCCTGAAATGACTAAACATAATTAAATAATCGAATGGAAGCAACATCATTCTCAATACATTCTATTAATATTCTACACCAGTACAATTACATTTTTTTCTAACCTGGTTGGGATCAATACGTTTTTATGATCACGCAATAACACATTTTGACAGCATGTGCTGTGTTGCACATTAGTATCCATACGTATCCATTTAACACCAAAAAAAAAATAAATAAATAAATAAATGGCTCCCTCGAATAAACGTACCCCTCAAAAACACTTCTCAACAATAAAGCCCCCGGGGGTTTATTCAACCAGATCGTCTGGGAACAAAAACTGTAATTTGCGTATCCAAATAACATTAACATAGGGGCCTAATATTGTGGTCTAAAAGCACAATTCGGGCCATCCCATAAAATACTCCCAACGCCCAGTGCTTTTTATGAAGGGACCCTCACTACCACTAGTCAGCTCCCTTATTCGGACCCCCTGTGGGACTCCCATTGGCAAATTTCTGGAGCCACTGGCACATGTGTTTATTAATTTATTTATTTCCTTTAGAGGTCTACATATTATTTTCTTAATTAAAGTTTGTGTATTTATTATAAATATGCTTATAAGAAATTTTAACTGATAGGCTAGGCCTTATTTAATGAATTTGTTAATAGCCGAATTGTTAATTAGGTTTGATTTACATAATAAGACAAAACGAATCATTAAACTACAATAAGCCGCTGTTTGTGTATACGAATACACGGTGATCGCATTGCGTTGGAATGGCTTCTGAACTATTTCGCCCTGACGCAGTTACGAATTTTTTGCTGTTTTTAATTTTTCACTGCTTTTTGATTGACTTTCGGCAAACTGGGTTTGCAAAATGGGATTCATGGATTTTGAGTGCTATTCCAACGGATTAAGCGCCGAGCGTCAAATTCAATGTAATAGCAACCAAGTGGAAGTAATTCTCAATAGCGTTCTGATTTATGTATTTAAAAAAAATGATTAGAATAAAAAGAAAATCCTTAGGTGACTGCCTGCTGACTCCGAGTTGGCGCATGATTGCATCCAGGAACTCGTCGAGTTCTATGAATTTGGCATATTTACATGGCATCATTCATCTGATCACCAGCATGAATGACGTCACAGGCCTAACTATTCTATACATTCATTAACCACATTAAGAAGTTACTGAACTTGGGGCCTAAAACATCACATGATCACCTGGTATAAGAACATGTAAATACCCCTCTGAATAAGCCTTCTGAAATGTTTTGTCCATTAATTTATCAATGATGTATACTGTGTAGGCCTATGTAACAATGGACACAACATAAAAGACGATTTTGTAGGTCTACGGTATATGATACTATTACCTAGGCCTATATCATATATTCAAACTTTATTTAAATATTATAAGACAACGAAATGTATTATAATTTGTGTAAACTAAATACATTTCTTTTAAACAAACCGTCTCAGTCTGTTTCTTTTACTGACAACTTCGTATATGTTTAATATGACGTTATAATTATTAAGTACCCAGTACAGCACATTAATCACTTTTCCTACAATACAATACTATAGGCCCCTATATAATGTATAGATATTGGATAATGTTGAGTAACGATTGCTCGTTTAGTACATGTAATTATATTTACACAATGAAACATTATTTTAGAAGGAGCAGGTTGCAAACACAGCATACTGTGCTTTTGAAAACACGATGGATGAGTCAGGGAGGAACCGTATTTATATACTCGTATGTACCTGAGTAAATGCCCCGCTTTCAGGGGTGGCGCCAGGATTTGCCCGACGGTGGTCAGATTTCCCCGACGAAACCAAAGTGGGCGTGGTCGAGCTTCGATTAAAACGTCTCGAAAGTGGTCCTGGGCGCGAAGCCCCCGAAAATTTTGACAATTTAGGGGTTTCAAAGGCTTATTTAATCGATTTTAGAGTCTACTAATATGTAGAAAATACATATTATTTTTTTTTCTCCCCGACGAATTGTGCTTTTCCTCCCCGACCGGGGGGGGGGAGCTCTCCCCGACGTGGGGCCCTGCCCCCCCCTCCCCGCTGGCGCCACCCCTGCCCGCTTTGAATAAATTCCCCCTCTAGAGCCTCATTTGGAATAAACGCAGCTCCCTCGAAAAGCTCTTGAGGAGTTTACTTTTCCTCAAATAAACAAGTCTTAAATGACTAAATAATAATTAAATAATCGAATGGAAGCAACATCATTCTCAACACATTCTATTAATATTCTACACCAGTACAATTACATTTTTTCTAACCTGGTTGGGATCAGTACGTTTTTATGATCACGCAATAACACATTTTGACAGTATGTGTTTTGTTGCACATTAGTGAAGGTAAGGGGCCTAGGCGTTTGTTCGATACGTATCCATTTCACACCAAAAAAAAAAAACAAAAAAAAAACAAAAAACATAGATAAATGGTTCCCTCGAATAAACGTACCCCTCAAAAACACTTCTCAACAATAAAGCCCCTGGGGGTTTATTCAACCAGATCGTCTTGGAACAAAAATTGTAATTTGCGTATCCAAATAACATTAACATAATATTGTGGTCTAAAAGCCCAATTCGGGCCATCCCATAAAAAAACTCCCAACGCCCAGTGTTTTTAATGAAAGGACCCTCACCACCACTAGTCAGCTTCTTGATTCGGACTACATATTTTCTTAATTAAAGTTTATGTATTTATTATAAATATGCTTATAAGACATTTTATCTGATAGGCTAGGCCTTATTTAACTAATTTGTTAATAGCCGAAATGTTAATTAGGTTTGATTTACATAAGACAAAACGAATCATTAAACTACAATAAGCCGCTGTTTGTGTATACGAATACACGGTGATCGCATTGCGTTGGAATGGCTTCTAAATGCTTAATGTTGCAATTCTGGCCGGCCCTTTTTTTTTACGCTGGACGCTACTATTTCGCCCTGACGCAGTTACGTGAATTTTATGCTGTTTTTAATTTTTCACTGCTTTTTAATTGACTTTCGGCAAACTGGGTTTGCAAAATGGGATTCATGGATTCTGAGTGGGCAAACTGGCATTCGGCAAACTGGGTTTCGGCAAAATGGACTCGGCAATCTGGCATTTGGCAAAGTGGGTTTCAACAATCTGGCCTAAATCCCTCCTCCTGTCGGGGTCCAGGAGCACAAATGAAGAATAATTTGGAAATGACAATTAAGATCGCCCAAACACCGATAACCATGCATGGTTGAAAACAATCTCATTACATCACTGGTTTTGCATACAGTACTTCCCCTTAATCGACACCGGTTTCTTAATCTCTAAGCTAAACCACAGAAAAGAGTGATGTTTTTTTTTAAATATACGTTCTTGACATGGAGAAATCTGCTCATTAATAATGCTATGTTCCGGATACAATGCTTCATATTAATGTACACTGTATTGTAAACTGCTTTATCTGCACGTCCACAGTAACAATTCTTAGACACGAGCTTTTAAAATAATCCAGGCGTTTGGAGCCGGAACTGCGTTTTCTTCAAGTTTGAGTTTATTGGTTGGTTGCAAATAGATGTAACATAACAAAATGGAAAGGAACAGTTGTTATACAACCAGCAATGTGATTAAATCCCTCAGTTACTTTTTTCCCCAAAAAAGCAATTAGGATAATAATATTAGGATCATTTTTTATTCTTTTGGTTCGTAGGCCTACCCCCTGGTTTATTAGTAGGACCCCTTTGTTGAGTCACCAATTTTCTATTTATCTATCTCTAATCATTTTACCGCGCTATTTCCAACGGATACAGCGCCGAGCGTCAAATTCAATGTAATAGCAACCAAGTGAAAGTAATTCTCAATAGCGTTCTGATTTATGTATTTAAAAAAATGATTAGAATAAAAAGAAAAACATTAGGTGACTGACCGCTGACTCCGAGATGGCGCATGATTGCATCCAGGAACTCGTCGAGTTCTATGAATTAGGCCTATTTTACATGGCATCATTCATCTGATCACCAGGGTGAATGACGTCACAGGCATAACTACCGTATACATTCATTACCACAGATGTTAATGAACTTGGGGCCTAAACATCACATGATCATTTGGTATAAGAACCTGTAAATACCCCTCTGAATAAGCCTTCTGACATTTTTTGTCCAGTAATTTATGAATGATGTATACTGTGTATATAGCCATGGAGGTACAGTATACTATAATACCTCCTTGATATAACAATGGACACAACATTTCAGAAGACGTATTTTGTAGGCCTATGGTATATGATACTATAGACCTAGGCCTATATTCAAACTTTATTTAAATATTATAAGACAACGAAATGTATTATAATTTGTGTAAACTAAATACATTTCTTTTAAACAAATTAAGCCGTCTGTTTCTGTCACTGACAACGTCGTATATGTTTATATGTTTTTATAATTATTATTTAGTACCCAGTACAGTACATTAATCACTTTGCCTACAATACAATACTATAGGCCCCTATATAATGTATAGATATTGGATAATGTTGAGTAACGATTGCTCATTAAAGTTTTCAATTAATTCTATTTTTTTTTTCTTAATTTAGGCAGTGGATTGTTATACCACTCTTAAAATTATTCTGATTGGATGTTATTGTCCTATTTCAATTATGATACATTTACATCCAATCAGAATTTGGAATTACAGCATGATAATGCGCACATCTTCACCAAGGGTGCTCAAGGTGCAGTGTCAAAGTTCACCATAAAATTTTTAAAAAATGAAAAAAATCCACATTTAATAATTCCCAAAAGAAGAATCCAATGCCAATTTTCCCGTCCAGGCAATGTTGCTCCACAAATAATAATAATAATAATAATAATAATAATAATAATAATAATAATAATAATAATAAAAATAAATAATAATAATAATAACAATAATAATAATAATAATAATAATAATAATAATAATAATAATATGTCGTTCTTATAGCGCTTCATGCCTTTACAAAGCCTCTAAGCGCTTCATATTGCTACCTCGGTCATTGAATCAAACACATATGGAACACATTGAACACCAAATTAAATTATTATTAATTATAAGTATGTGCAGATACTCTCATAAGACAATATGTTGAGCATCAGCACCTTCCACCTCAGGCTAAACCCAGGGCGCCACTACCGTGCACTGCAAAAAGGAGCAACAATGTGTCGACAGAGAAAAGTGGTATAGGCCCTAATGTTTATTATGTAAACTGTTTTTATATTTAAATTCAAGAGAGGAACATCATGGTTATATGCCTTGGTGAAGAGATGCGATTTAGAAGTTTTTTAAACACGTTTTTTAAACACGTCTATAGTTTATAATTAATGTGTGGTCTAACTGAACTAGGCAAAGCATTCCAAAGAGGTGGAGCTGCAATAGTAAAAGCTCTCCCCCATGAGTGATGTGACTTTGACTGATGTAGAAGCAGGCTGTCACTAGAGCGCAAGTTACATCCAGGAACATTAGGCCTAATCATGTCAGCAACATAGTCGGGAGCCAACCCATTCATACATGTTATAAAAAATTAATATTTTAAAGATAATGCAGGTTGTACCGGAAGCCAATATAAAGTTTTCAGTAATTCGTTTGTCCGATTGCGATTGCGGTGCGTTTTAATTGATATACAGTAACTGGTACCGGTACTGAAACTGTTTTAAACGAGTGATTCCATTTAATGCGGTTAAGGTTGCTTTTCGTAACCGCATGCGCTATGGCCATCCGTTTTGATTTCAGCCCGTTGTGCGGTAACATCTACATAAACGCATTGTAAACGCAAACGCAACAAAGCCGGATTTGTAATGGAACCTAAATTTTCATAAACATCAGAACCGGCCAAAGGGATTCTTAGTCTTTAAATTCCAGCTCCGAAACCCATGGCGAGAATTTTTTAGTATCATATTTAGTGAACTTATTTTTCAAAGATCGTAAGATCATAAATAACATTTTGTTTTATTATTTAGCAAAATGAGTTTGCATCTAGGCGGAGGATAAAATAAAAATTAAATTGTATTGATGAATGTAAACAATGCAGTAATGTGATTAATAAATCCTTTAAATTTATATAATTAAAGGAGAAATACATAGCCTATTTAATGGAAGCGTAGTATAACAAGAAAAAAAATCAGAATTTTCCATTTTCCGTTGCTGCGGAGTCGCTAACTAGCCAAAATTAAATTTTATTTTATTTGAAATCCTCATCATCGGCTGACCAAAGTATTAAAGAAAGTCAGACGTGGGTAGGTTTTTACCATAGTTAGTGATTTTTTTAGGCCTATTCATATTTTTCTTTTTTATTTGATGTCAGTGCATTAAGCAACAACATTCATGTCGCCTTGTTACTATGACAATATAGTTATCTTATCTTATATTTCTTTAACACGTCTGATATCAATGAAAACTGAATTGTTTCTGTCTACCTTAATGGAATTTAGAAGTTCATAGCTCAGTCTACAAGTCGGAAAAATGATAAATTAAAAAATACTATGCTAACAGTTCTCTGTATTTAGGCCTAATTGTTTGCAAAATAAGAGTCAGACAGGGGTGAATCCAAAGATGTCAAAGAGGGGGGACTGAAAGGGAGGGGGTTGTCGAAGGACAACCCAACCCTAGGGGTCCGGGGGCACGCCCCTTCGAAATTGTGGTTTTTCTAGACGCCCAGAAATATAATTTCGGAGACGTTTTGGGCGATCAATAATTTTTCTTTTTTTGTCTTTTTTTTTTTTTTGTCTTTTTTTTTACTTTCGAAAAGGGGCTCCTGACAGATTAAAGCTTATATTTTTTTAACTTCCACTGTTATTAGGTGATGATTTATTATTACAATTAGATAATGATATTAGTATTTTGATGCTTGAAAATTCCAATTTTCTACAACCTGACAAACCTTTTATTCCTGAATAACTTGCTTAAACTAATTCTATAAAGTTATGGTATAGTCCGAAGACACAGTGTATTTTTTAAATCCTTACATCTTATTTTTCCACTAATTAAAATCATCATTTTCCCATTGCATCTTTTTTATTTAGAAAGCTTTCAAAAATATTTGACTGCAATCCAATTTGATCGAGAAAAAACTTGTACTAAAAAAAAAGTTAAAATCAGTTTAGTTGTCTAATGTGACGTGACTCGAACCACGAGTCGATTTAGTAAACCCACAACCAATCACAATAAACATGACGTAAGCGCGTCCTGTATAAAAGAATTTAAGCAGCCCCGGAGACTTCAATCTTGATATTTCTTCTGATTGATTAAGTCTATATTTAAGTGTTGGAAATATACTCAGAAAAATGACGTCTGTGTTAGTTGTAGGTGCTGGCGTTATTGGGCTTACATCAGCGCTGGAGCTATTGAATGCTGGGTAAGTTTTTATTTCAAATTAGGTGTACTATAATCATTTAATTTTGTTTTCTATGGTTTAGTTATTATTTTATTTTTCTCACTTTATATTAGAATTAACACTGATAATTTGTTAGTAGGTTTGTGTTTATGATTATTATTTTGTGATTATTTTATTATTATCTTCAATAATTAATATTATTATTATTATTATTATTATTTATTATTATTATTATAGAGGACAACAACATTTCAAATTGAATTGCTTATTTAGAATACAATTAAAAGCTAATGTACAAAACTATATTTCCGTCAGTTAACGGACATGTAAATAATGCCGTTTCTTTATCTTTTACACAAACCCTTAAATGTAAGGATTTTTGTAGTAAAATGTCTATAAATCAGCGACATTTTTCCTACCTGTTTACTGGTTGGTTGATTGGTTGGAAATATATGATTATTTCAAAATTTTAATTATTTTGTTTTTATTTTTCCAACATTTTTCGGCAAGCAGACATTAAGAAACAAGTGGTATTATATTTTTAAAAATCTACCAGAATTTACAATTGTTTAATATAAATAATATACGCCTACGTTCTACTCTAAGTTTTAAACATATTTCTATGATTTTTTTCAGGTACAAAGTTACCATTATTGCTGATCATTTTAATGAAGCGCCGAAGACTTACATGACGTCAGAAGTTGCAGGAGCATTATGGGAATGGCCACCTGCAGTGTGTGGAAGACACACAAATGAGTCGTCCCTCAAAAGTTCGAAAGTAATTATTATTTAGTCATTCTTATTTTATTTCTTGTGAACTTTGCAAACATACAGAGATAAACAAAATATTTTGTTAAACAAAGGCTTGTAGCGGAAGAAAGTTCACGCAAGAAAAAAAAAACATCATTGATATTTAGATAAATTCGTCTCGTCAATCTGAACAATAGGTTAGACAAGAGTTATAACATATATACAGTGAATGTTCGTTCTTTCCAGCCTTTGAGAGCCCTCGATAGTATTCCAAACTTTTAGTTATCCTTTGAAGGTTCTGTTGTTTTTTTTTTTCTATATCATAAAATGTTGCAATACATAAATATATGAAAATGTTTAAGTTCGAAAATGTATTTAGGGTAGCATTATAAATATAAAAACTTAAAAAATCTATTCCATTTATGTTTAAAGTTTAATTAGTCAAAGTATATAATATTTACTTCAATCTCTGATAGATTGCAAACATAAAAGTGTCGTCGTTCGTACACTTTTTGCTGCGCGTAATTTAAAAAGTATTCATAATATCACGTCGTCATAGAGTTTAAACCCGGATATTGTTAGTAGACAGGAACCAGGATTCTTATTTATTATTTTAGTTCTCTTGTATGCGTACCATAGTAACTACAATTGACCTTTCCACTTACTCAAGTCCCGCCCCTTGGATGATGACGTCCCACAAAATGACAGCGTAAACGCACATAGCCTTTTCTGATTGATAAAGTTGTTAAAGTCAGGCTCCTGAGTAAAAAAGTTGTTGATATGTTGTACAACTGATTTTTCTAAGACACAAAATACTGGGAGGGGTGGGGAAGGCCGTAACCACCATATTCCACATTTTCTCCCAGTTTCTAAATATTCAAAAATCTGTAGGCCTATCTCATTAACCGTTCCCGAGTTTTTCGTCAAATATGCTTTTTGCATCTTAGAAAAATCAGTTGTACAACATACCAATCATTGTTTTTTACGGAGCCTGACGTTAAGTTTTGACTGAAGTACTGCACTTCAGATACGCCCATATAGTTAAACTTTCATTGGTTACCCCTCACAACAGCACGTCCAAAATGTTGTATTCCGGAAAGACAGTTATTTATTAGCCATTATTGTTTTGGATTTATATGGATGTATTTTTTTTTCATTCCTTAGCGTTGGTGCATGGTGTCATATTGGAAGTTCATCCAACTCGCATCCGAAGAAAGAGGTACAGGGATTTACCCCCGTAAGGCCGTCTTCTATCAGCGTCAGAAGGTGGAGGAAAATGCGGATGAGCATTGTAAGATGCAGGAGCTAAGTTTCTTGCCCGGCTTCTGTCATGATAGCCAACTTATTGACGAGTTTAATGTAAACCGTAATTACGGAGTGAAAGACGCCTACTCTCACATCTCACCCGTAGTAGATACAACGCAAATGATGAAATGGTTATACAAACAGGTAGGTATACAATTTATCATTGACGTTGTGTAAGAATCCAGAATGGAGTAAAGGATTTGATTCTATCAATAGTTACGCTGGATAATAATTGGTCATATACTTGAAGTTAAATGGAACACACCAGCTTTTACTGTTGTGTTACTTGAAGTTAAATGGAACACACCAGCTTTTACTGTTGTGTTGTTTGTTGTAGGTTGCTCAAAATCTCAAACAAAGCTCGAGTTGGAAATTCACAATATAATTTAAGTCAATTATAGGTTGATTTAAATAACAGAACGAAATCGCAACAGGCATAGTGCGTTGGTTAAATTTATTTTAAATATGCTTTTGCTAGTTAAAACATATACCAGTAACAATACTGAAACATAAATTACAGGACTCAGTATATAGTAATACAATTGTTGAATATATGGTTTGAATATCACTGGCGTATATAGGGGTACGGGGTGGGGTGTGGGCAGTCTCCCCCATTGTCCGAAGCAAAAATCACTCAAGTTCTTAAAAATCACTGTAATGTGTGACCTAGTGCCCCCTCACTTATTCATCGAGTCCCACTCTGCCTTCTCGCCACCGTCAGCCTCCCCCAATTTCAAGATTCCTCAGATATGCTACTCGCTGTGTAGGCCTAATTCTGTTCATAGTGCTAGATATTCATACTATAAAGCCTATGTATATTTACATATTACATTATATTCTTTCAGTGTAAAGACCATGGAGCCACCTTCTTTAAGCGTCGTGTGAACGGTAGCTTATTGGATCAGGTTGATACACTTCTGGTTGAGTATGACGTAGATTTCATTGTCAACTGCGCAGGTCTTGGTGCGCGCGAAACCGCAGACGATAAAGGTGTTTACCCACTAAGAGGTATGTTCTCACATGATCTTGCAAATAGGTATAATATTTTATGAATAGAGGAAGTATCTTAAAAAAAAATAAACAAAGAATGCCAACAAATTACAATTATTCCCACTTTCTTTAAAACACTTACCTACAGAATCTAGGCTTACCAGAATGTTTCGTTTGTGGTTTCACACACAAAATGGTATAAAGATATCGCTATAATGTACACAAGCACTTATTATTTCGTTGATCTTGGTTGACATTATTCAAAGCTAATAGAGGTCTCCCTCCAATGAAAGACCCCTCCAATTAAGGACCACCTCCAATTAAAGACCACCTCCAATTAAAGACCACTATTCTGTGGTCCCAAATTAAAAAATTTCTTTTATCGTTATTATTCTAATGAGAGACCAAAGCTGCTAAAGACCACGGAAATCCGGGTCCTAAAAGTGCGGTCTTTAATTGGACTGAGACCTGTAATGGACAAAAACGAACATAGGCCTATGTCTTTACTAATCCTTTTATTGAATGTTTGATGAAATATAATATATGATTTCTATTTATACCTCAATATATACTGTATATTCAAACTTTTTAAAGAAATTATTTAGCTACATGCCTCCTTGTTAAATATGTGTAATATCAGAAAGGAAAAATGCATTCTATTACTTGGGTTGATTTGATTGGTGGTATTACATTCTGGTACAAGTTTCCTCTGAAAAAAAGTCTCTAGAACCAAACTCTAATACAACATTAACTCTTTATCCATCAACAAAAACAAATAGGTTTTTAAATCATATTCTAATATTTGCGTTGTGACCAATAAAAAAAAATCGATGTGAGATAATTGCTTATCATGGATTTATTTAGTCCATTACGCACGTAGTTTTAACCGTTTGATTTCAAATTTATATAAAATTATTGTTCATTCTAGGTATGCTATTGAAAGTTGCTAATGATGGATCCAAAATGCCGAAACTAAACAGCGCCCTCGTGATGCCTTTAAATGAAGAGTTTATGGCGAAAGATCAGCGCATCGTGTTTATTCTTCCAAGAGGTATATTATAATTATCAATACCATCATAATTTATGTCATCATATTGGTTTTTACTATTGCTATTATTTGCATTACCATTTTAATTATAATTATAATTATTATTATTATTATTATATAGTTCTAATATAATAATAATTATCAATATCTTATTAATATCAAATATATCATTACCATTATTATTATTGACATTTTACATTATGATTAGGCCTATTATTTGTATTGTTCATATTTACAATCATTTGACTTTAACTTTCTACTGAACAGGTGAAAATGATCTCTTAATTGGTGGATTGGTGGAGGCTGGACAAAGCGAGACCGAAGGAATCACTTTCAACCATCCTCAAATTCAACGAATGCTAAAGAATTGTCAAGACTTTTTCCCAGCATTGAAAGCGTACCAGGAGAGTGATGTTAAAGAGATAATAGTCGGTCTAAGACCTTTCCGCGAGAATAATATCCGCGTGGAAATGGAACCGAAGTGCCGTAAGATCATCCACAACTACGGGCACGGTGGGTCGGGCTGGTCACTAAGCTGGGGCTGCGCGGCTGACGTCACCAACTTAATCCAACACGAAGTGCAATCAAAGCTGTGGTCATCTAGGATGATGCTCTTCTCGAAATTGTAAATTATATCTATATTACATACACTCTTATTTATTATTAAATATATAATATATAGATATAAACACCTCTCGAATAAATGCCCCCTCCATAGCCTCATTTGGGAATAAACAATGAACGCAGTAATCAATTTTTCTTTCTTTTTTTCTTTCATTTCGTAATGTTTGGCCTTCGGCCCGTAGTACAAAACAATATCAATATTATTAATTTCTTTTAGACTATCATTTCTTTAACTAAAACATTTTTCAATATATATTGCAAGCAATCTTAATTCTTTTTTCATTTCTAAATACATGGTTTAAATATGTGTATATATTTTGATTTTTAATATTAATGTATTTATCTCTAAGATTATTATATATTATATAAAGGGCAGCTATTAAAAAAAAAGTGTAATGCATCCCCTATTTCTCCAATATCACATGCTAAGCAGATTGTATTTTCTTTAACAATATTTCGATGTCTTCCATTCTCTATAAATAAATTGTGTTGACAAACGGAATCTCGATAAAAGTGTCCTTAACTTAAAATTGAAATTCAAATATATACAGTAAATAATCAAAAGTTGAAGTTGTGTTTGATATTAGATTGTATCCTCCCTTATGTATTCATACAGGGGAAGGAGTATTTTTTAATTGGCAGCATGGTGTCAATTAGAAAGCAATAAAGTACTTGGTTGCAAATGATTTATTGAACATTTTGATTTATGTACATTTTCAAAAGTTTTTTTTTTTGAAATATGTTAAAATATATATCAATATGAGTTAGTCTTTTTGCCGAGCTTATGTATTTAAAAATTGTACATAGTCTTTTGCAAAAGCAAGCAAATTTACTCAGTGATAGTAGACATAAAATATAATACGGTATTATCATAAATTTATTGAAAATGCTAAAACATGCTGAATAAGACAAAATATACAGATAGTAAGTGGAAGTGTAGATAAAAAAAAAACAAATGTTCTATCCAACATATTCTTAAAGGTTTTGAACTTATATTCCGGTTTTTTTTAATCAAATCTGTCAATGTAGAGTGGAACAATAGAATTATAGAAGGCGGTTTGTTGTCTTCAATTATGTTTAATTTATTTTAGTAGACTTTGTCTATGTGCCAATGGGCTCTCGAATATGGTGTTATTGCAAATTCAAGTGCTAATGTTTCTTGTTTTTGCTGATGAATTACTACTAGTATAACAACTATCCGCCTGCGAAAGCTATTTGACTTCGATAATGAATATCAAATGTATCTTGCCAGCAAAATCACCATTATTTTGAAGATGGGGCTATGGGGTTTTTAATGAGTTCCTGTTCCTTATGTTTGGTTTTAAAATTTTAATGTCTATGTATTATATTTCAATTTTGATGTCTATGTATTATATTTAACGTTTTTCCTCTAATTTTGGAGGTAGTTTAAATAAATAGTAAATGTAAATATTGGAAATTTTGTAATTTTAGTTTACATAATTATCAATAGTAATGTAATGTTTGTGATCCAGAATTTCTAAATTAGGGGGAGGGAAAAAATGGGGTAAGGGAGCGCGACTGGCAATCGAGAACTTATGTTCCGAAGTAGGCGGAATTATGTTCGAAAGAGGAATGCTTTGGCTTAATTACTGTGAGGGTCCTGGGTCTTTAGAGGCTTAGCCATTTAAATTTCAAACTTGGCTAATGATATTTGTTTGGCCGCTCCTGGGGGTGGGGAGGGGTCGAGGGCCCGTTTTGTCACCTTTGGATCCGCCACAAACGGTGGCCTGAGTTAAGCCTATTTATGCCTTGTGTTTTATTGTAATGGAATGCCTAAATACATTTTATCAGGTATCCAAATAAGCATTTCTGTTATTTTAAATGTATGTGAGCAATAAAGAAGTATTTAATTGAATTTAATTGTGTTAGATTATTTTTTATGTTTTCGTAATGACAGATTAAAGCAGTGGCGTAGCTATGTGCGAAAGGCCCCAGTTCAAGATTAATTGCCGGGCCCTTTGATATGATGCGGAATTCCCTCTGAAGTTCGTAGGAAAATTCATCATAAGAATTGCTTCTTTTACCCCCTACTCATAAAGGCTTAAGTTAGTAATCAACACTAATGATAAACGGATTCGTAACTGGGGGCACATTCGGTCTCAGCAGCTGTTCTAAATTAATCAGAAAAAGTTCATGGAACACAGTAAGTCAATAATTACTCCTCTAAAAACCGAATATTATTGAGAGGTCCGCTGGCCGTTGTTTTTTTTTATGAATGGGCCACTAATAGTCCTGGCCCCAGTACTTTGTGCTGCCTGCACTGCCAGTAACTACGCCACATTTAATACCCTGGGAAAACAATGGTCAAGAGTTTCTATTAGCAAGGTTTGCAGATATCACTTTCACAAAAAATATACTAATCCGTAATAAACTTGTGGAATATATATAATTGTAAATTGATATAATATAATATAATATAATATAATTGATATATTATAATAATAATGAACTATTATAACAAGTTAATAATGTATTCCCATTTCACATACCTTTGATAGTGGAAATTCGCATCTTTTTAAACTAGCAACATACACATTTTTCCCTATTTTTATATGATGTTAACAAATATTGTATACACTCACACCACAAGATTGTTTTAATTGCAATCTACCAAATTGTATTTCTTTGCTTTCCAAGAGTCATAACAAAAGAATTTTCCACTCATACTAAATACGAAGAAAATTTTACAGTGTTTCTGAATGTTATTATTACTTATACCAATTGCACTGGACATGTACCACACTGGAATATTGATTTTTGAGAAACAATAACATGGAAAGAACAAAAAATAAATAAGCTACCTTATTCAGAATGAGAGGAGACGACCAAGATAAAGATGGAAAGATCAATTGGTAAAGAAAAGGCGGACAAAAGACAGACATGGTTAAATTGGAAGAGGCGTCTACCAAAAAGTGGGGCGCCCACTACAGACTGAGAACGATGACGACGACGATGATGATAATGATGATGATAAGAGAAAATATAACATCAACAGAGACAATAATTAATGCATATAGCCTCAACTTACGGATGTTTAAGGGACAAGTTCAAACCAGAAGATCGACCCAGAGATGATTATTGGTTAAAACCACATAGCATGGTGGTCACGTGGTCCAAAGTTATTGCGATAATACCATACCACTTATTACCAGGTCTAAAGAGGGCAGGTTTTCAAAAAACCAGTGGCGTAACAGGTGGTGGGGGGGGGGGGCTCACCAAGCCGTCGTACCGTGCTGGGTAATAAGAGAAAAGAACAAAAAAAAAACAAAAAAAAAAACTTGGTTAAAATAGCTGTTTTTGTCGAAATTGGACGATTTGTTACCCTGCTGTTTTCCGGTTATTTTGTGTTCTGCACCTAAGGATCACACGGTTGCATTCTGTGGCACCATAAGGACTCTGTGAATGGAAGCATTACAACAAAACAGCTTGGTAAAAATTACTCCGTTTTGATAAAAAAAAAAAAACAAAAGTAAGTCTGTTTTAGTTTTTAGTTTCAACATGTTCAACATCCAGAGAGCGAGTGTTTACGTTCTGGAGACCACTACGAGTGAATATGTTTGTAAGTGTGTTTCTGTTCTTTAGTATTCAAGTTTTCGCTCTTCGTACGCTGGTCACTTAAATGCACGATAGAGTTACTTGCTCGGCCCCAGCCAACTGAACGGAGGGAGGAAGCAGTGCGACCCCTAAGC